GCTCCACTTTGGGGCCTAGGGATTTTGTGTCTCACAAGAAAGTCATTGATTGATCCATGTTTAATTTTATCTAACCTCAAGCATCATGAACACAATTGAAATGTAGAAGGTGTTACATCCCTTTGCAACATTCTATTTCCTCTAGTCCTTGACAACCAAAAATATGAGTGTTATGACAAAGAAAAAAACAGGTGATTGTAATTTTAATTCAACTACTATTCTTTATTATGTATGTATATAAGTAATTATTCAGGAAGTATATGTTATTTACTTTACTTACATCTGTCATAAAGCTTCTTATACCTATACTCTTACTTCTTTCAATACTATTTAAGAGGCTTCAGATATCTAGTCAATATTTTTTTGATTTCTTAATGAAGTATTGTATACAGCCTCAGTATTTACTCAGAAATTTGAGAATAAAATTTTCTACTACTAATAACAATGTATTTAGTTTAAGTAGCATAGAACTTGTTTCTTTTTATAGATTTCTTGTATTGATTCTATTTACTTACCAAATTTATTTAGTGATTAAAGTTTCTTTACTAAGGCTTCTTTTATTTTTTTGCTAGCAAAGATGCCAATAGCTGTAGTGATGTGATCTCAATGCAGAGAAGCCAACCAACACAAGTTATCAAATCCTACTCTTTATATGGTCTAGCTTGGGGAATCTGGACATAGTGCCTGTGATGGCCTATCATAGTGTTAAGATATGATGCAAAAAAACACTGTCATGTAGTTTTCCAGTCAAAAACTCCTTCTAGAGCTTCCATGACTCTTGACTTTAGACTTGCTAAGTACCTGTTGGATAGATGAAGAAGCAAGTTCTAGTGATCATCAGCATTTCCACAAGAAAAAGAATCCTAAGAACCAATTTTGTAGAATCTTAGTGCAAAATATTGGGATAATACATGTATTATATTACAAAGTAAATACATTAACTATAGTATTATAGTATATGGGTTGTCCATCAATGAATGGCCATCCATTCTTGTGTATAGTAGGGATTGATGTACATATTTCTATGTCAAGATGAGAGGCATTCTTAAAGAGAAACACTTTTGGTTTTGCCAATTTTAAGAGTGAAGCAATTAGATTTTCTCTTCCTACTGCATTCCCTTCTTTTTCTATTTCACACCATCATAAATGTGTAACTTAAGGTTGCAAATGCTTTATTGTCCTCATCCAATAATGTTGTTTCTATTGTTGTGCCACACATAATCAAGTTTTTGGTGTTGTGGGGTGTGATATTGTTAATTTTGACATTCTTAGGTATATCCTAAGATATTCTGGTATATACTATCATCTTAGATTTATAAAGTTAAATATGTTTATAAATTATAGAAATTTAACCTTGCATATTAATTTTTCAATTACTAGATAGTTTTAATGATGGGTGAAGCTCATAAACAGAAAAAATCTAGTAAAACTTACTCTAACAATCTCTTGCAGATAAGAATTTCCACTGGACACTCCTAGATGTCTTTCCATTATCTTTTTCAAAGTTATAAGAATGAAGGTGCCACCTTGATCATTGCTTATTATATTTATAGGTTGTTGTGGCCTTCAGCTTTGTAGGAACACTTCCAAGCCAGTTCTCAATAAAAGCAATCCACTGTTGCATGCTTATTATATCATTAAAGCAAGGAACTTTGTGGATGAAGAGCTCTACTTATGAGGTATTGAAGAATGGTTGGAAGCAATGGATTCCTCACAATTGATTGGTCAAGAAAATCTTCCTTTTCACTAAAGAATCTAAATTTTATAATTTCAAAATTATTACATAATATCATAAATAATATTAAGCAATAAATAAACCAAGAGTGTTTTAGGACTTTAATATTCTTGGCTATATGAGGATAACCTAACTTATGAAACACTGAACTAAGAATGAAAACTATATACTATTACTGTAGAGGAAGATGACATATCAAGTAGCATTTTTAAGTGATAGTCACCCTATGAAATCTCTGATTCATCCTCTCATTTATTTCTAAAGAAATCAAATTTTATACCCAACATTAAAAAAAATAAAAAGATGTTTAATCCTTGAACATCTTCTAGGATTGCATCATCTATAGCTCTCCAATCCAAATCACGCTCTCACATCAGCAAAAAATAATAACATCAAATTAATGGCAATAAATCAAACCAAAAAGGATTTACCTTAAACATTATTATCATTTCAAATTTCAATAATATGATAATTTCAATATTTTATTAATAGTTAGAAGCAAAAAATATGTAAAAACTACCTTATATATCACTTATAAACACAAAACCTAGAAGGATATAGCTCTGTCTTTCCATGGAGCCTATGAAATTGGAGTTACTTTGCTTTTGGTAATGCTCTTGTAATAATTATATTTTAAAATGTAAACAGTTTTAATTTTAAGTGTCAGAATACTAAATAAACATTTCTATTTTTTTTTTATTATATAAGGTGAATGTAAATGTTAACTACTACTATAAAACTGGTTCTTTTACCTTTAGAAGAAACAGTGTTAGCTTTAGACATTAATTTTGAAGCTAGACCGAAAGCATGGTTTCCACGAGTCTAATGCACCCGCACGGGCAGATCAACCGATAAAACAAACTAAATGTGAGCCATGTCTAACCAAGAGTTTTGAGTTATGAGTTTCTGTAATTTCTGCTTAGTTTCAATTTTATTTCTCGTTGTTCCAAAAAAAGGGCTTACCGAAAAAGTTAAAATACGAAAACATTCAGGTTAAAAGATAGCGATACTGAGGTGGCTCCGATCTCCCGTATTCCATGAAGAAATCTGCCGCTATGCCACAAGCAACACTTCTTTCGTACTCCAAGTTTGCAGTAGTGGCCCGATAATGAAACGCGAGTTTCTTGAGAACCTCAAGTTCTTTGATGGACATATCCTCGAGGAGGACCGGGGTGATGCTCTTGTAATCTTCAGCATGGACATAGTGCAGATCCCCGTCCATGAGTGCATCACTGCAGTGAAAAAGCGTAAATATTACACACGAAAAAAGAAATAATAGGCAACCTATCATCTATGGCTATAACCCGGAGCCCTCGTTCCAGAGGTGATGGGATACGAACGTTCCTGTTTGATTGGCACATTAGTTATGAGGTACATTTCAATAGCGACGTACCAAAACCTTTGGAACAACCTCTCGTCCTCGATGGAAAGTTTTGCTATATCTTGGTCTACAAGGTAAGCATAAAAACCATTAAAGCACGGACCTAGAAAGCTTACAGACTTGGAAAAACTTACAAGTCATAGCAAGCGGGTAGAAAACCCGAAGCTTGGATTTGCAGAGCCACATCACTGCGTGCTCAATGCAAACCATCACGGCTTCGGTATGAGGTATCAGCGACTGCTGATCTGGCCTCCTCGTCGTCAGCTGCTCCAGAACTGGAGAATCGTTGATTCCCCTGAGCAGCTCCCCCGGCTCCAATGGTGCCACAACGAGTGCCACGACCTCATCGATGGGCTTGGCTGGGTCAAAGTCCAGTCGGTTACAACTCCTGGAGTCATAGTGGACGTATTCCACTTCACGGTAGGCTTGAAGAATGGCGTTCATCAACTGCTGCGAGTGACAATCGCCTCCTGCCGCCATGACCTTGCCGAAAACTCGGCTGGCAGTCGCCAGATCCTAAAAGAGACCTTACCTTTAGCGAAGAGTATATGTGCTATAAACTAGGAAAGCATTACCTCTTTCAGGAAATAGTCCGTGGAGCACACTCGCTTCAAGACTCCCCAGATCGCCTCCTCGTAAGCTGGAGAGCAGTCCAGCTTGCGGAGCCTGGACGCGGCCGCGACCAGGAGGTCCAAGTCCACCTCCTTGACACTGCCCAGCGAGCTGAAGATGCAGCGCTGCTTCTCGAGTGTGCTGGAGAAGAGATTCCCCACGTAGAGGATGAGCACGGCACGACCCACGACACCGATATCGGTGAGAGTGAAACTCCCAGACCCGTAAAACTCCCTGAGACACCTATGCTCTCTACCTTCGGCGACCGCCTCACGGGCCAAATCTTTGCACCACCTCGCAAGTTTAGCATCCCCAGAGCGCAGCGCATCCTGCCTCACCGCCTTGAGCAGCGGTAAGATCTTATGCTTCATTGCTGAACCCTAGAAAAAACACGCCTTGCCGGAGGTTGACGAACGGCCCTGGATCGATTGGGCTTGAGCATTTGTAGTTGGTGCTTGGTGGCATGTAATGCAAAGAATCGATAGAAGAATTATATAGAGCTAAGGGAAACAAGTCGTCAAATCAATGCAGCAACGTTTGCTCTATCCATGTAAGCCTTGCTCGTTGCTCTGTCAATGAAGAGTTGTTAGCTTCCAGTAACAGTTCCAGAGAAAGCACTTCGAACCTTTTGAATCTCACGCACTGCGCCAGATTAGACGGCCTCCAGCCTCAAGAAACAAGTAGAAATCGCAAGTGCCGACGAGAGTGTACAAAAATCACCTAGACCATAGGTACCTTGGTGTACATTCGCGTCGAAAGCGCCTCTATTCATCGCAAAGACGCACTCACCTTGGTGTCAATGGCGGTACCATTTACAGCGACTATACGCTTCTCTCCAGAACTTCCATGTCCAAGCCTCCATCCATCAGACCTGCGGTGATTTGGATCGATTATAACTTAGAGATCCAAGTTTTAGTCATGAGTAGATTTACCAGCAGCAACAAGAACCACGTTTTACAGTTCCGACTCGAAGAGAAAAAAGGATTATTTTCGTATTCGGCCGCAGCTGGTACCTGACGATGTATGAGAGCGAGCTTGGAAAACTATTACCTCGCGGTTTTCCAAACAATATCTGCACCCATGAGAACAGCTCCGTGACACCGCCCGCGTCTTTCTTGACCTGGAAGAAAGAGATAAGAGCTAGTCTATAGAAAAGAGAAAAGGAGTTACCTCCTCGTCTTCACAGTCACTCAGGTTGAGGAAGTAAAGATCTTTGTCCGGATTCTACCAATCTACTCGCAGATCTCCACCTTCGTGGAGCAGGGCCAGAGAATGGATCCCAAGCTGGGTCCAAAGTTTAACATCCCGGCAGCGTCGCTCACCATCTTCGACACGCTCACCATCATCGTCTGCGTGCCATTCTACGACTGGTTCCTGGTGCCGCTGGTCCGAAAGTTCACTGGCCACCCGCAGGGATTCACCCAGATCCAGAGGATGCGAATCGGCCTCGTTCTTGCCACGGCGTCGATGCTGGTAGCGGCGGCGGTGGAAGTGAAGAGGCTCCAGCTCGCGGCCGAGTTTGATCTCCTGGACAACGTCACGGATCCGGTCCCGATGAGCATTCTCTGGCAGATACCGCAGTACTTCCTCGTCGGTGCCTCGGAAATTTTCACGTCCCTTGGGCAGCTCGAGTTCTTCTACGATCAAGCACCCGACGCGATGAGGAGCTTGGCGAGCGCGCTGGCGCTGGGGAACTACTTGAGCAGCTTCTTGGTGGCGGTGATCTCCCACGCAACGAGTTCTTCCGGGAGTTCTGGGTGGATCCCAAACAATCTAAACCGCGGCCACCTGGATTACTTCTTTTTTGGTGGCGGCGCTCAGGGCTCTCAATGGGCTCTTCTTCTGGGCATGCTCGAGAGGCTATCCGTGTAAATATTTACATTGGACTAATGTAACTTACGTCACCTTTAATTTCAACTCATTCCATGGTTTTCGCGCGCATTTTCTAGGGTTTATGGTGGAGGCCGCGATCAAGGCGGAGGAATGGGAGAAGGCGCTGGGTCTGGGGCTTTGTCTGCTGGGATTTCTCGAGACGAGGACGAGAGAGGATGCGATGTACACTGCTCCAATAAAGAGGCATGTCCAGGATCTGATCGATGCGGCCAGGGACAAATTCTACCAAGGTTTTGAGAGGTAAGTGGATTTTGGCCATGAAATCTAGCTTACGTAGTGATTTGGTTGAAGAAATACGCTCGCACAGGCAGCTCGATCTAGCGGCGTGGTTTTTGGGGGAGGCCAGCACCGTGTCGACGAGAAGCTCTCCGCTTTACAAACCATTTTGTGGTGACAGCAGCGTGAGTGATCTTTGAATTTTTATTTATTTTTCTTTCTCTCGTGGTTTTGACAATCTGAACTTACAGGAACCAATGGATATTGATCGCATAGACGTCAGCCCGGGAGAGAGCAAGAAGCGCGGAAGACTTGTGTGTGAGCCGCCAAGATAAGGAACAAGTCTGTCGTTGTAGAGAAGCAAAATCCTGTGGAGAGTTCAGGAGGATTTGTCACAGCAAATAAAAAATGAGTAAGCATTTTGAACTTTTCGACAGTTCTCCGCAGAAATTTCTTTCTTCAGGCACTTGACTCCAAGAAAACGGGATCAACATCGTCTCCGGCACTTACAGGGACCAACACCATCGCTAAGACTCTGGGCCGCCGGAATGTTCGAAGTTCTTTTACACCACCTCTTCGCTCCAATGGGGGAGGAACAACCACGCAGAATTCGGATGCTGAGCAGGCGAGGTTCCAGATTGCGCAACTTGTCAGGCAGCTCGCCATCGGGACCAGCGAGAAGTTCCAAGCTAGTATGACACGGTTGAGAAAGTAAACCAAATGGACATGAGAACGTACCATTTGGTGGTCGAGTCGGATATGGTGAGCACATAAGCAACGAAATAGTGGAAAGGGATTCAAACGTTCGCTGGGATGACATAGGTAGCGCTTTTTCTCACTCATTAGTTTGTGTTGTAACTTCATTTTTTTGCAAACAGCAGGACTGGATCATGCTAAAAAGAGTGTCACAGAAATGGTGATTTGGCCCCTTTTACGCCCGGACATTTTCCATGGCTGCCGCTCGCCAGGAAAAGGACTCCTCCTTTTTGGCCCCCCTGTAAGTGTATATTTGATGAAGCAACTCAAGAATGTGACAGGGAACAGGCAAGACAATGATAGGAAAAGCGATCGCTGGCGAATTAAAAGCTACATTCTTTTCAATATCAGCAAGCTCGCTAACTAGCAAATGGGTAGCTTTGATTTTCTTCCTAGCACATGCTAATTTTTCTGTTCAGAGTTGCAGATTGGTGAAGGCGAGAAGCTTGTCCGAGCTTTGTTTGGTGTAGCAAGTTGTCGCACACCAGCGGTGATATTCATCGACGAAGTGGACTCACTCCTATCTCAGGTATCGTCGACAATCTGAACATCTCGTTCGGTATTTACTTTGTTAAAACCAGAGGAAATCAGAGGAGAGCATGAATCAAGCCGAAGGATAAAGGCGCAGTTTCTCATTGAGATGGAAGGTATTGGCAGTGGTAACGAGCAGCTTCTTCTTATAGGTAAGCCAGGGACTGATCGATGGACTGTAGAGTTCGACAAAAACGTTTTAGGTGCTACAAACAGGCCTCAAGAGCTTGATGAAGCAGCTCGCCATCGTTTCTCGAAGAGGCTATACATACCACTTTCTTCTGCTGGTAATTCATTCTCGCCTCACCTTATGCTTGACTATGCTTCCCATGGATGGTCTGTTTTGTATGTCCAGCAGCGACATGGACGAAATATGCTCAATGACCGAGGGTAAATACAGACACCAGCTTTCATCACCTGAATCAAGCTCATCCTTTTGCTGCTTCCAGGCTATTCCGGTTCTGACATGAACAACCTCGTCAAAGAAGCATCCATGTATCCTCTCCGCGAGGCTCTCAAAGCGGGGAAAGACATTGGCAATATTAGCACGGAAGAAATACGAGCTATTGGGCTACAGGTAAGCAAAAGCTTCCAATCTACGTACTCTAAATCTCCTTTGCAGGACTTCAGGGCCGCTCTTCAAGAAGTAAAGCCTTCAGTCTCGAAATGCGAGCTGCCTACGAGGATTGGAACTCTCAGTTTGGAAGCCTGTGCTTGTGACGAACAAGGAGCGAGCGAGGAGCGGCATCACTAGAAGATTAAAGAGTTATGGTACGTGCTTCAACAAGCGTCCAGCTTATTTCATCGTTATCGTGCGAACACTCCAGGGAGGAAGGATGGACAGGCCAGGGCTGGTTGAGGCTCGTCACATAAAGTCGTCCTCAATCTCCTGGAGAGATTTGCCTTTGCCGGCAATGTCCTTGTTGGAAGTCATCTTCTCCGACACCATCAGGGCTTTGTAGCTCTGGACGTCCGCCTCCCTCTCCTTCTGGACGCGCTCCAGCTCTTCGCGACGTTTCTGCTCAGAAAGACAAACAAGTTCTAGCGGCCTGGGACAAAGAAAAATCCCCAGACCTTGTCGCGCATCTGGTTCTTTCGCTCCGCCACTTGCTAGAGACTCGACCAGCGCCATTGAGGAGTAATCAGTGACTGTGTTCTTAATTCAAGAATGAGTAGGATTTTCCATATAATAGCATGGCTTTTGTTGGATTCTGTGAAAATTGCACTGGAAACTTTTCCCCTTTGTAAAAAGAACCCTAAGATAGTAGGGTTATCTCTAAGGTCGGGCAGTGGCAAAAAAAGCACTTTGTTGCTATGGAATTATAGTCCGCCGCCTGAGCCCGTGATTCATCTGAATCAGCTCGCTGGGATCCTTGTGCCACGCTGCTTGCCTGCCTATGCGAGGCCGCTGCCATTGGAATTGATTGTCCTGTTGACACTAGCTTCATGGTGGTGGATTGGCCAAGATTTGAGACAGGTTTCCAAGCATGGTGGGCGTCTCACTCCGATCCTGCAAAAGGTGGAATCCGTGGCAGTGTACAAGTAGGAGCTGTTGTCCACGTTTTCGCAGGACATTAACATGGTTTTGAGGAAGATGGTTTTGCTAGTTATTATTCTTTTTTTGCTAATGGAGAGGGGTTTTTGCAACTTTTAGCTAAGCATCCAGAATTATTCATCTGTAATTCTTTATGTAAATGAATATTAATAAATGATAAAATTTCACTTTTGCTAAATTCAATGGGGTGGCATATTTGTTATAGAAAGGGTGACTAAAGCATGTATCCATTCGCTAAACTCTGGGCATATATACTCCTTAATAGTGTTGCCTTTGGTGTGGTGGCATTTAATGACGATTAGCTGGTTTTATGTATACGAGATGGTGGACGTGGGAAGTGTTTTTTCTCCACTCTCCTTTTCGAAAGAGGTTGAACTCCCTTTTTAAATCACATATTTTTAATGCTATTTCTTAATTAAAATATTTACTATTTACATTTATTATAGTTTTAAATGTATATTTATTATGATTTTAAGAGTCTTAAACTAATAAAACAGACTTTAAGGGTAATATTTTCAAATTTCTGAAAGATATGGGAAGCTTTTTTAATTTTGATTTTGAAACTAAAAACTATCATCAATAACTCTTTATTTTTATTGAGCATAACATATAAATGTTATATTGCATTAGCTATATAAATTCTCCAAAGATATTAAATTGCCACATGAAATTAACATTACATTTTTTCTTTTATAAAATAATTTTTACGATTTATAAACTAGCTAGTGGTGATCCAGTATATAATGATGAAAAAAATTCACATTAGTTAAAATAATGTTAAAAATAACTTTTAAATGTACAATTTTTCCATGCATATTTACCCCTTTTTATATTTTGCTAAAATTCATGTAAATGAATATTAATAAATGATAAAATTTATACTTTTGCTAAATTCAATGGGGTGGCATACTTATCATAGGAAGGGCGACCAAAACATGTACCCATTCGCTAAGCTCTAGGCATATATACTTTTGAATAGTGTTGCTTTTGATGTGGTGGCATTTAATAACGATTAGCTAGCCTTGTGCATGCGAAATGGTGGACGTGGGAAGCATTTCTTCTCCACTCTCCTTCTCAAAAGAGGTTGAACTCCCTTTTTAAATCACATATCTTTAATGTTATTTCTTAATTAAAATATTTACTATTTACATTTATTATAGTTTAAAATGTATATTTATTATGATTTTAAGAGTCTTAAACTAATAAAACAGGCTTTAAGGGTAATATTTTCAAATTTCTGAAAGATATGGGAAGCTTTTTTAATTTTGATTTTGAAACTAAAAACTATCATCAATAACTCTTTATTTTTATTGAGTATAACATATAAATGTTATATTGCACTAGCTACATAAATTCTCCAAAGATATTAACTTGCCATATGAAATTAACATTACATTTTTTCTTTTATAAAATAATTTTTACGATTTATAAACTAGCTAGTGGTGATCCAGTATATAATGATGAAAAAAATTCACATTAGTTAAAATAATGTTAAAAATAACTTTTAAATGTACAATTTTTCCATCCATATTTACCCCTTTTTATATTTTGCTAAAATTCATGTAAATGAATATTAATAAATGATAAATTTTTCACTTTTGCTAAACTCAATAGGGTGGCATACTTGTCATATGAAGGGCGACCAGAGCATATACCCATTCATTAAGCTTTAGGCATATATACTCCTCAACAGCATTGCCTTTGGTGTGGTGGCATTTAATGACGATCGGCTAGTCTTGTGCATGCAAGACGGTAAACTTGGGAAGGGTTTTTTCTCCACCCTCCTTCTGAAAAGAGGTTAAACTCCCTTTTTAAATTACATATCTTTAATGCTATTTCTTAATTAAAATATTTACTATTTACATTTATTATAGTTTAAATGTATATTTATTATGATTTTAAGAGTCTTAAACTAATAAAA